AACAACAACAACAACAAGATCTCTAATGAGCATCAACGTGATCCAAAAATCAGAAACTAAACTCACAGCCACAGAGTCAATTCTTATTCATAGCGACCTTACAGGACAGGGTCGACCCACCTCTGGGCTTCTGAAACTATAACTTTTTATGGGAGCAGAAAGCCACCATTATCCCACAGAGGGACTGGTGGTTTTGAACTGCTGACCCAGTGGTTAACAACCCAACCCCTAACCACTACGGCACCAGGGCGCCTACATATTACACAAAAAGCCCCAAGTCCACCTTTCTCACGGAAACCTGCAGTCTCACTGAGGCAGACCCTCTGAGTTCTGAGTTCCAGGTAGTCACCGACTGTGTCCATGACTCATTGCACATTACTAATCACGGTGGCGTTTGGTATTCTGTCCTGGAGTCCCATTGACACGTGGGTCAGCGTGCCCCAGACGTGTCGCACGGCACTAGTTCATCCATTTTCTGAACACGGCTTTTACAAATGTGGGAAAGAAGACTCTATTTATAAAAGTGAGGGGCTTTAGTTTTTCTGAAGAGAGTTTTAGAATCCTTGGCTCGGGAGAAGGAGAATATTCAATTGACAGTAAATTGAGTAAGCGGAAGTGGCTGTAACCTTTATGCTTGAAGCATGAATCTCATTCCAAGATCTCTTCACTATTCCTAATCCAAGTAACTATAATACATTTGGATAATTTAGCAGTTTATGCTTTTCATTCACCTTGACACTTGGTGATGGAGCGGGTGGGAGGGGGTTAGTTTCTCCTACAATGAGACCCAAACTACTCATACACTATGTAAAAAATATTAAGAAAAGTTATGTGTTTGACTAATTTAAAAGGAGCCCTGCTCACGTGGTAGGTTCCTTCTTGGGCTGCAGCAACCACCAGACCAGCAGTTGGAACTCCCCAGCCCCTGCGAGGGAGATAGAGGAGCCTTTCTGTTCTTGTAAAGAGTTACAGCCTCAGAAACCCACAGGAACAGTTCTGCCCTGTCCTATAGGGTCTCTATGAGTCAGCATCCATCTGGTGACTGTGAGGTGTTCTTTTGTTTTTTGGAGATGGGGGCACATTTAGATTTCTCAGCAACCCTGTGAGGGAAGCACTGTTATTGTCCCTGTTTTCCAAATGAGGACATGGAGGCATAGAGCGGGCAGAGTTGGGGGTTGAACTCCGGCACTTCAGTCCCCCTGTCTGGATGACTAATCACTAGGCTAACCAGTTGTCTTGGAAACGTCCAGCCAGAATACTCTTTAGAGGCCAGGATGGCGAGTCTGCGTCTCACATGCTTTGGACATGTCAGGAAAGACCTGTCCTTGGAGAGGTACATTGTGCTTGGTAGAGTGGAGGGGCAGCACAAGAGAAGGAAGCCCTGGACCGCCCTGGACAAGGTGGGTGGACGCAGTGGTTGCAACAGGGGCCTCAACCATGAGGACAATTGTGAGCCTGGTGCAGGATCGGGCAGCGTTTCCTTCTGCTCTACACGGGGCTG